AAATCTTCAGTTGTCATTCACTGAAAAAAGTTTCCAAAAGTGGCTAGTGGTGGCATCTGGCATCGGCTGGTTGTGGTGGTGATAAGAACAAATAGATAGATTAGTTGGACAAACAAGTGGCACTAGACATATATGTGAAATAATAGACAAATAAACAAATAGATTAAAGAAATATAATTTTTCAAATTGTTATTGTCGTTATGATCTCAAATATTTCAAATTGAATTTATGGCTTGATTGCCTGAGTCATTGATACAAATATTATTCGGTGCCCAAATAAATAGTATAAATATATTTGTGACATGACCACTTTAATTATTCCACAAAGATCAATAGATAGGAGAATAATTACATTTTAAAAAATATGATAGAAGGATGATACTATGTTTTTTTTTATTTTTTGCTTTTTTCTAGAAACTGATTGGGAAGACCATTATTGTTAGGCTAATTTACCAGCCAGTCTCCCTTTCTAGCTTATTACATATTGGGTCCTGACTTATATTTTTATGTACTATTAAGTCCTTAGTTGTCTATAATACCCTCATTGAATTTATTACTCATTAATTTTCTCGATTTTTATTAACTTCTCTTGATCATTTTCCCAGAACCATTCTTCCCTCTCTCTCTCTCTCTCTCTCTCTCTCCATATCTCTCTCTCTTTTTCTAGAAAATACCACCATCAGTGAATGTGTCTATCAGTGATAAATTTAACATTGAATATGTCTTTGAATCTTGTGTTGATTATGACAATGATGACGAGAATTTCTTTTTGTAATTTTTTAACCAACAGTCAATGATAAATTTATCATTGAATTGTCTTTGAATCTTGTGTTGATTTGTGACAATGATGATGAGATTTTATAATTTTTAACAAGCAGACAGTGGTTAAATTTATCACTGAATGTGTCAATCATAATTTTTTTACTAGATTTGCAGTGAATGTGTCTATCAGTGATAAATTTAACATTGAATATGTCTTTGAATCTTGTGTTGATTATGACAATGATGACGAGAATTTCTTTTTGTAATTTTTTAACCAACAGTCAATGATAAATTTATCATTGAATTGTCTTTGAATCTTGTGTTGATTTGTGACAGTGATGATGAGATTTTATAATTTTTAACAAGCAGACAGTGGTTAAATTTATCACTGAATGTGTCAATCATAATTTTTTTTTGCTAGATTTGTCTTTGATTCTTTGTGTTAATCTATGAATGTGAAGAATTTTTTTCTGGTAAGAATTCCTCATCTCTCTCCTTCATTTTCTTCACCCTTATTCTTGTCCTTTTCTCTTGTTACCACCTTGTTTGAGGTGGTACAGGCGATATTGACACGGGGGAGGTGAAAAATGGTCACACAAAAAAATATTATCAAAATTCGAAGGTAGATGCTGGAGGTCAGTAATGGCTGTCGGCAATCAAAGATGAAGGCCAAATGAATCATTGGAGGTTGATGATGGTCACCAGTAGTCAGAAGTAATCTTTGGTGGCCGATTAAGAGAGAGAGATTCGAACAGTTGTGACAGAGAGAGAGAGAGAGAGTAGAATGGTTGAGTGATTTCTTTGTTTAGACTGAATGTGAAGAATAAAATGGAAAGATGTACTAAATCTTTTTGAGTCAGGACCTTGTAGGAATTAAGTCCGACTCAAAGAATCGGCTAGGAACTCCCCTTATTGTTATTCATGATCATTGTGTGGAACTTCTCTTCAATCACTCGGTTGCCTGCTTCTTACTAGTGTTTGGGTGAGGATCTAGCAAAAGGACAATTAGTTATCGAAAAATTAAAAAAAAAAAATTGCAAATATGATAGCTCTCCATTGTTATAATTTTAGTCAAATGCTACTATTCATTGCCCTAATTTGGCAATGACAATGCTATTATAGCATTTGCCATTGGAAATATTATCACTTTGCTTGTTCTTGGTTTTCCAAAAACATTTTAAAGAAAAATTTTACTTTTTTATTTTCCGTGTTGTTTTGTTTTTACTGAATATTTTTAATATTTTAAGCAATTTTTTAAATTTCTAGACACACCTAACATAATACACATAAAAGTATAATTTTTGTGAAAAAAAAAAATCTTTCAAAAATTCACTAAATACCAAAAATACAAAAAAAATAAAAATTCAGTATATTTTTCGCATTTCTATGTATTTATTAATTTTTTAAAACATTTTTTACCAATTTTTTTACTTTTTAGATACATTTAAGTAAGATACATCTAAAAAAGTAAAAAAAAATGCTTAAAATTTTAAAATTATTTGCTAAAACAAAAAAACACGAAAAAAAAATAGTTTTTAAAAAACTCAAACTAAACACACACATTAGGATTTTTGATAAAATTAGTTAAGGTTAACTCATTTAGCAAATTTACAATGTTATTTCTAAAATCATGACTGTTTACACGCACAGTTTTAATCCATTGAACAAAATTAATACAAAATTATAAATTTAGAACTAATTAAAATTAGAAGAACCAAAATGACCAAAGGGTCAATGAATGGGAATTTAAATATAATTTATCCTAAAAAGAAAAAGAAAAAAAAATAGCCATATCTTTTTCTGAATTTTTGTCTCTACTGATTTTTTTCTTTCAAAATTAAGTCAAAAGTTTTTTATTTTTTTGGTTCGTCCTGTCAAGCCGAATCTAAAAAATATTATTTCTTTGAAAAATTTTAGAAAAAAAATACTAAAGATAAGAATAAGTTTAAAAAGATTGCTATTTTGACTTATTTTTGCCTTTTCCTTATTTTTTTGAATTTTTTTTAAAAAGTTATAATTTTCCGATTCGTCTTGTCGAATTAAATTTAAAAACCTATAGTTTTTTTTATAAAATTTTTAAAAAACTTTGGTAAAGACGAAAATAAACCAAAATTAATTTGTCTAAGCTCAAAAAAAGTCCACTTCACCAACCACAAAATATTCTTCAAATTTCTGTAATCAAAAAATGAAAATTCATTGAGAAGAACCGTAGAAATTTTTGCACATACAATTCTTTTATAAAAAATTTTTATGAATGGACTACTTTTTTTAAAAATAAAATTGACACATATATAGGAGTACTTTTATTTTGAAAAACCACTAATAGTGGGTTGAGTACCCTCAATTCGTTTCTTTTTTTTTTTTTAATTCATTATTCTAAATTCATAACATCTTAATTCTTTGTTACCCACTCTGTTTCGGATTTCAAAATCTCTCAATCAACTCTGTTTGACAACTTGATTTTACAAACAAATAAAAACATAACTGCTTACTCTAATTCGTAGACAACCCGCCTACTTATCAGGTTAGACTTTATACAAATAGTAGCCCTTTTTTTTTTTAAATATATATATGCGTAAAGAAAAGCAAACGACTCTTGAGTATATTTTTATAGATTCAGGCTTCTTTCCAGTTGGGTTTTCCAATTTGAGTGTGTTATTGGATCTCTATGGGCTTAGTATGGAGCTCACATTGATAATCTGAACCATTCCATACGTAGGACTGATTGAGTATTTCATCCCTATAAAAAATCACGTTGATCGAATATCCATAGTCACTTGATCAGATCACATTTATATTAACAATTTATTTTTGAAATCATAGTAATATTGATACAAATTTGATCTGATCAAGTGGCTTTCGATATTCAATCAACGTTATTTATTGCAAGAATAAAGTACTCGACAAGTATTACACACCGAACAGTTCAGATTATCAATGTGGGTTTTATGGTAGCCCCGCATAACCCAACAACAAGCTCAATCCGATTAGGCTAGAGAAAAGTTATTCCCTATTCTATACTCCTTTTGTGCACAAGTTATAAATTGATTTTTTTTTTTTGTTTAGTAATTTACAAGGTTATGTCAATAAATTTTTCACTCTCTATAATTTAAAATTTTCAAAATTATTTTTTTGATTTTTTAATTTTAGATCGACTTAATAGGTATACACTTTAAAAATATATAATTTGTACAAAAAATAAAAAATAAAAATCATTGAATATAACAAAATACTAAAATGTATTAATTTTTTTTATTATTTTGTATGCAATAATTTTTTTGCTGGATTATGTAAAAGGAAAAGAATAATAGTGTATTTTTTTTTTTAGATAGTAGGAATAATAGTATTAGACTCAAAAAAATTAAACACATAAAAGTGTTGGATGAAATTTATTTTAAGTCTAACTCAGATCACACTCAAGATGAATTTTAACAATCCAAGACATTTTCTTTATATGTTTTATATTCTATTTTTTTGCACTTAACATTGTAATAAATAAAGATTAACTTCACTTCTAAAGAATTAGAGATTCATAAATAATCACCAAATTCGTTTGGACGTAGGCCATTTTAGTTGACTATTTGATTTTTTAGGAAAAGATATGTTAAAAAAATAAATAAATAAATAGAGAAAGTAATGTGATGGGATGTTTTGTTTTAGGGAAAATTACCAACACCCCCTCGAAGTTTGATTAAAATACAGATTTTTTCCTGAGATTTGAGAAATTACATCCTGCCCCTGAGGTTTATATTTGCGTAACAAATTGCCCTTTTATTTGTTATGCAAATATAAATCTCAGGGGGCAATTTGTAATTTCTCAAACTTTAGGGAGAATTCGTATTTTAGTCAAATCTCGAGGGGAGTGTTGGCAATTTGCCCCTTGTTTTATTAACTATTTTAGCTTTGAATGGACAACCCATCCCCAAACAAACCCATATTTTAACTTATTTTTAACTTAGTGATTATGCAAGCAAAATTAGCTACAATTACAACCTTGTAAAATATGCACAAAATTACTATATAAAACATAAACTCACATTAATACATTAATACAAGATTATCTGAGAAAACAATCCAAATAAGGACCTATGTTTCGTTTATAAATCAATTCATATGCCACGTGCAACTCACAGACACCCCACCTATTATATGTGTGTGTGTGTGTGTGTGTGTGTCAACAATTAGAGACTTTTGGTAATCTTTAGCTCTAGTTTGACATTCATGTTGAGGCTAAAAAATTGTAGAAAGACAAAATTGACTACAAAAGTTAATAAGACAAAATACTACTTATTATCCATAATCATTACATTTTTTTTTCTCACAAAAGTCAAAAAGTCCAAAAACAAAATCCAAACAAAGTTAAAAAATGTAGGCTAAAAAAGTCCCAATATAAAAAAATTGACTATAGTAGTCAATGCCAAACGAAACTTTATTTCGTAGAAGCCAATAGAACCATAAGCATAGACTCATATCACTACTGATACAGATTTGGGTGCCTTGCCCTTTCGAACTAAACCCTGCACTTCCCACACAATTCAAACTTGTAAATAAATACATTGAAGAAAGCATAGCATCAATAAACAATAGGAAAGGGCAGAATTTTCATATAGGGACGAATATATATATATATATATATATCTAATCAAAATTTTTAGAGATAAAATACAAATTATAATATCAATTTCTACTAACATGATCAAGTAGAATATATCTGTAAAAAATCACGTCGATCGGATATCATTATTTCTTTTATCAAATCACATTTGCATTGAGTTTTATATTTCAAATTACATTTGTCTTTTTTTTTCTTTTTTTTTATAATTACAAATGTAATTTGATAAAAGAGCCAACGATATCCAATTGACGTAATTTTTTACTGATATATTTTACTCGATAACTTCTAAAATGTGAACGGTTTAAATTATCAAATAAAACCTTGAAATAGGCTCCATAAATATATATATATATATATCTAATCAAAATTTTTAGAGATAAAATACAAATTATAATATCAATTTCTACTAACATGATCAAGTAACTATTTTGCCTTTTTTTTATTATTATTAATTTTATATTTTGATTACATGTTTCATAGATACAGAGTGATAGCCAATTAAACATTCTTTTAAAATCTAGAGAAGATGATTCTTAAAATTTGTAAACGAAGAAAAATTTAGGAGCGAGTATCTGTAATTTGTAAATAATTATAACTAATATTATTTTAATAAATGGTGTTTTTGAAAACGTACCTCCTTCCACGTCTAGCTTCTATATCGGATCCTATGAAGTTGTTTGCGCATAGATCAGTACAATTTTTGATGATGCGGGTAATCAACAAAAAGAATAGGGGAAGGCAGCCGATAACACAAACTGAAACAGCAAGGCCAGATGAATGTGCTAAGACAGCATATGTCCCCGTAACGAATGCCAACACCATTGCAACCACAGCAAAAATAATAAGATAAGCAGCTGTATAAACTTGGTTCTCTAGCATATCCGGATTGTTAGTAATAGCCGCATAGAAGTGGATGAGCACTGCTGAAATGGATAATGACATGGCTATGGTATCTGTTACCATAAAAGCTTTGAAAGCTGCTTCTCTTGTTAGAATCGCCATGCCTTGGTTTAGGCCATCGTTGCTATTGTATCCGCCGGGCATCGTGAAACCAGCAGTAAAGGCCACAGTTGCTACAAGTGTAGCCACTATCAAATGGTTTGCCCCTGTTTGCCTCAGGTCTTTGGGTGTCATTACATTCCTATAATCAGGCCCATATAGTCGCTGCAAATAAAAAGCGAAATAAAATAAAACAAATAATAAATTATAGAAGGCAAACTTCATTTTACCACGTTACTTTTGCCCATGTGTGAATTATCCCATTCCCATTTGAAAATAATCATATAAATTCCTTGTAACGTTAAATATTGTGTAATTTGATAGCAAGTGTAAAACACGTATAGGCATAAGGGAGATTATATGCTCATTTCAAATTTTAAAGGAATAAATTACACATAAAATAAAGTATAGGAGTTAAGATGCATTTTTGTCTCCCAAATAAATAATGAAAATATCTGTAATTCGCACACTTGGATTGCTTATATTTAGAGGCATTTTAATCTTTTTCATTAAATCGTTAGCGGGGCTAATGTATACTTTGGTTCGCAAATATGGCTACATGGTTATTTCCTAAAAAGAAACGAGGAATCCCAACATAAGTCAAATCACAATGTGATAAGGTAAAATTTGCCCAATTATAAACACAAATAAATGGTAAATGCTAGGAGCGATTTGGTGTGTAAGATTAAATTTAATTATTTAGTCATTATAGTGACTCACATGATATGGCAATATTAATTATAGATTTAATGGGATTTATGTTCCATATCTTTAGTCCCAAGTTTTATATGATAGGTCAATAAGAAGAGTGGTTTCCAAGTTTCTTGTTTTGATGGGCACGTAGAGCTAT